AAATAATATACGTTCAAGTGGCTTTTTACTTCCATACAAGTAAAAATGTAAATAAGCTGTAATAATAATTAAAGCCGCAAGCGGCGTCAAACGGCCCTCGCCGCACTGCGCAAAGGAGGTGGCGCTAACGCGCCATTTTCTAAAGCCCTGACGGGAGCGACACTGTACATTTTGAATTCCTATGATCAGTGATTGTATGTCTCTTTTCAAAAGGTAAACCTCATTCTCCCCATGTAACACTTGACTCAGTCTGTAGGGGGCGCTATTGTTGCAATTTTGTCTTTTACACTTTCAGTTTACCCAAACCCGAGAGTTGAACAATCATTTCAAATTTTGTGCAAATCTGACTTTGTATGTACAAACGGTGGCATTTATGTTGTAAAATAGCGCCCCCTACAATTTTTTTTTTTTTCTGTTTAACCAAAGAACACCGAAATAATACATTTAATGCCTGAAAAAAACGTGTGGCAAAGTTTGGTGAGTTTTTGTGTTTGTTCAGTGGGTCAAATATGAGATAAAACAACAGAAAACCTAAATACCTTTATTCCCATGTAAACCTTTACTCAGTCTGTAGAGGGCGCTAATGGGCCAATGACATTGTTCACACTGTCATGTGACCTAGGCCCAGGAGTTGAACAACAGAGTCAAGTTTAGTGCAAATTAGAGTTTGTAAATGTGCTTTGCACATACAATCTGTGAGTGTGTCCATGCTGTCTCCATTGGATAACATGGGAACTTCACACCTCTCTATGAAAATAACCACACTTTGGGAGTCTGTCACGCGCAGACCATTTGACTAATTTAAATTCTATATTCAACTATTGATGGTCCATGTGTTGAGACGATGTGGAGCGATTTTCAGCCAAATTAGTGAAACAGCCGCGGCTGGTTTGATGTTTGAGCGAGGTGTACTTTTCAGAGATATAATGATTTTCCCATGGACACAGACAGGGGAGTATTGGTCGTCGCCACGGCAACAGGGTAAAAAATAAACATATGTTGTCATTGACTTTTTTAATCCAGATGACAAAACAGAATTATGTGCAAAATTTCAAACATTTTGAAAAAACTAAATTTTATTAGGCCCATGTAAAACTTTGACATAGTCTGTAGGGGGCGCTAATGAGCCAATTTCAATATTTCCACTTTCAAATGACCTAGACCCTGGAGCTCAACAATGGATGAAATGTTGGTGCAAATCCGGCTTTGTTTGTGCAAACGGGAGCAAATTTACTTTTGTCAAATATTTAAACAAAAAAGTCAACTGATCCAAATTCTATATTCAATAATTGATGGTACATGTGTTTAGACCATGTGGAGCGATTTTGAGACAAATCGGTGAAACGGCCGAGGAGGAGATAATTTCCAACCGACGATGTGTGAAAAAGATAATTTTCATTTTTCCATTTCCCATTGACATTAATTAGCTCCCTGTTTGTCAGGGGGCGGAGCCATAATAACTTTTTTTTCATGTCCTGACTTGAGGAACATGTGTACCAAATTTCGTGGCTCTACGACAAACTTGACCTCCGACCCCCTCCCATAGGCGCAATGTAAACTGACTTTTGTAGGGGGCGCTGTTCTGGCATTTTTTTAGTCCCATAAAAATAAACACCAAAAAAAATAATTTTTCACCGGTTCTGAATTTTGGGCAAAAATTTCACAACTTTTCATCAATGTTCAGGGGGTCAAATTAAGGTTCAAAGTGCAGAAGAAAAAAGAAAGAAAGAATTTTTTTTTTAAATCTTCGAGCAAAAACAATATAGGTTTCCATAGCAACCTATAATACAAATGATACATCATTTTAAAGCAAACGACAAGGTGAACGCAACTATTGGGTACTCGGTGATTGACGAGCGCTGACGCGCTCGTCAATCACCTCGACATCATGAGGTCACCCCCCCTCCATAGGACCCCATTCATTTCACTGTGTACCACAGCAGGAGCAAAGCCATTCAGTGCCTGTTTTGTCAGTGTCTCGGCACGCTTCGCCCAGGCATTACTCGTTGGAAAAGCAATAGGCCCTTTCCCCAGTTGGGGCCTAATAATAATAATCTAGTCCGTACATTGATTATTTCCAAATAAAAAAAAACATAATCAAAAAGGAAAGGTTTCTTATAGTTCACTATCAAAAGAAGCAATATATAACAGTGTAACTAATGTCTCAAAGGATAATGCAGCCTCGCGGAAATTTAACTCTGGAAGACTGACGGCTAAAGCCACCCCTTCAAGGCCGGCCTCGCATCCTCAGCCTATCGCACAGCAAACGCCCATTTCCAACCAACTTATGCTGGTCAAGCCAGCAGCTTAAAAGTGGAGAAACTCCCCCTTTACGGCCTTCTCGAAGCCTCGCAAGGAGTCGTTCTGGAGGAATCACTTTCGTCTAATCACGCTTGCTCGTTGCGTGTGTCCCTGCTGTTCTCCGTCTTGCTGCTTGTGGTCTGCTCCTCCTCCGCGTCGCTGCTCCTGCTGCGGGTCTCGTGTTGTGGTCCGTGAGTCTTCGCCGCTCTCCTCTTTTGCGGGCTCTTTTTGCGGGCTCGGTGCGTTAGGAGTCTTTGCCCTGCCCCTCATGCCGGTACGGTGTCGTCCCGTTGCTTTCCCCTTGTCTTCTGGCGTCAGTGGGGTAAGTGTGCTGACCTGCGGATGGTTTATTCCCCTCGCACTGGTCTGCAGGCTCAGTTTTTTAACCCGCGCCTTGTTCTGTCAGGCTCTCAGTTTTGACCCGGCACATTGTTCTGTCAGGCTCCCAGTTTTATCCCCTCGCATTGGACTGCAGGCTCAGTTTTGACGCCACGCCTTGTTCTGTCAGGCTCTTAGTTTTGACCCCGCGCATTGTTCTGTCGGGCTCTCAGTTTTATCCCCTCGCATTGGACTGCAGGCTCAGTTTGACCCCGCGCCTTGTTCTGTCAGGCTCTCAATTTTACCCTGCACCTTGTTCTGTCAGGCTCTCAGTTTTGACCCCTGGCCTTGTTCTATCAGGCTTTCAGTTTTGACCCCGCGCATTGTCCCGTCAGGCTCTCAGTTTTATCCCCTCATTCATTTTCATTCATTTATTCATTCATTTATTTATTTCGCCATTTGCAGTAACACTACATTGGAATGCATTTGTAAAAGTTCCCAGTGTGCACAGGACAAGTACAGACACAAAACAACATTAAAAGACAAAAATAAAACAAATTTTAAAAACAGTAAACAAATGTCACCGTGAAGTTGACCAACTTAAAACAGATCTATACGAGTGCAAAAACATTAAAGTGCTCTATTCAAACTGTTAACAGCTTGTGGAAAAAAACTATTAGCATAACGAGATGTCCTGCATCTCAGAGAACAGTATCTTCTGCCAGAGGGAAGAAGCTGGAACAAGGCTTTTCCTGGGTGGCCAGAAGAGTCATTGATAATTCTCAGGGCACTGTTAAAAAGTCTGGATTGATAAAGAGCCTCCAGGACAGGAAGTTCACAGCCTACAGTCCTCTTAGCAGAGCGGAGCACCTTGTTTAGAGCTCTCTTTTCTTTATCTGTGATGTTTCCGAACCACACAGACACAGAACCAACAAGTAAACTCTCAATGGTGCAGCGATAAAAGTTCAGCAGAATCTTAGAGTTAGTGGTAAATTCTCTAAGTTTCCGCAGGAAGTAGAGACGCTGACGAGCTTTCTTTACGACCCGGTCAGTGTTTTTAACCCATTTCAGGTCATTAGACAGAGTTTGACCCAGAAACTTACACTCCTCTACAATCTGCACTTGGGAGTTATCGATTGCGACAGGCAAATGAGAACTATTGCGACTGAAATCAAAGACCAGTTCACATGTTTTGGATGCGTTCAGCTGGAGGTTGTTAGCCTTACTCCACTGAACCACGTTTTGGATCTCGGCTCTATAAGACGATTCATCGTTATTACTGATGAGACCGATGATGGTGGTGTCATCAGCATATTTGATGATCAGGTTAGAGTCTGAGGAAGACACACAATCATGAGTGTACAGTGTAAAAAGTAAAGGACTCAAAAAACATCCCTGAGGAGATCCAGTGCTCACAGAAACAACATCTGAAAAACAGTCATTGATTTTCACTCTCTGAGATCTGTCTGTTAAAAAGCTATAGATCCATTTACACATGGCAACACTTAAACCGAGAGACATGAGCTTTTCAATCAGTATACCTGGGACAAGACCATTAAAAGCAGAGCTATAATCAATGAACAGCATTCTTGCAACAGATTTCCTATTGTCCAAGTGACTGTAGACAGAGTTCAGAGCAAAGGAGATGGCATCCTCGCATTGGACTGCAGGCTCAGTTTTGACCCCGCGCCTTGTTCTGTCAGGCTCTCAGTTTTACGCACTCACAATGTTCTGCAGGCTCTCAGTTTTACGCCCTCACAATGTTTTGCAGTCTCTCAGTTTTAGGCCCTCACATTGCACTGCAGGCTCTCGGTTCTAGGCCCTCACATTGGACTGCAGGCTCTCAGTTTTACGGGGCTTTCACACCGCCAACGCTGAAGCGCTGTTTATGAGTATTTTCAGTCTGCTCGCTCAGTCCGCTAATGTCCCCGTGACCACTTTGCTGCTCTCTGATTGGTTGTCGCACGAACGTCCCAAGGAAAGGATGAGCAGAATCCATCTCCTGTGGGCGTTGATTTTTCGCTCCTGCTCCTCCTTTTTCACTTTCCCGCCAAGTCTGTGCGTCATTATTGAACAGTCCGTTCGTGCGTGCCGAGAGGTCCGTGCGTTGTGACGGTCGAACGCGCGCCACCATAGACTTTGAATTGAAACCCGACGCAACGCATGATCCGGTCTGAAAGCACCATTAGGCCCTCACATTGGACTGCAAGCTCTCAGTTTTAGGCCCTCACATTGGACTGCAGGCTTTTCAGTTTTAACCCCTCGCATTGGACTGCAGGCTCTCAGTTTTAGGCCCTCACATTGGACTGCAGGCTCTCAGTTCTAGGCCCTCACATTGGACTGCAGGCTCTCAGTTTAACCCCGAGCGCCGGTTGCATCGTTTATGGACTGGTCTCAGAGATGTGATAAAGCGCGGAGTGGTGTAACGTCTTCCCTTCGTACTGGCGCAGACTGTCTTGCACATTGTCAAACGGATCGCGTTTGGGGTCCACTAGAGGATCTCGAGCTCCTGGACACATAAGGGATTGCACTGACTCTGGTTCGTCTTGCTCGGAAAATGTGGTCTCAACTTAGTTCCGATTGCGTCTCTGTGGACTGGGCTCGCAACGTGGCCTCTCCCGCAAACGCGGTACGGTGTGGACCTCTTCAGCGTGGCGTTAATAAAAATTTTCACGTTTGATGGGTCCTTCAAGACAAATGCAAGGGCACAACTGGAGAAACGATCGTTAAGCCGCTGGTCATCGACGCTGCAGTTCCCCAACAATCTAGTCCCAATCCTAGCCGTGCTGTCCTTGGAGCCTGGTTCATTCGTCGCTCTGTGCTGGGGGGCCCGTCCCGGCTTCCGTGAGGCTGCCGTTCCGAAGGGCTTTCATCCGGGCCTGATCAGCGCCCGCCTCTTGGCCCTGGTCTTCTTGCCCAGGCTCGCCCACGCGCTCGTACTCCATCCCGATTGGGCGTTCATCGTCTTCCTCCTGAAGCCCCATGGCTTCTTGCGCGGGAGGTTCCAGGCCCCGTTGGTGTCGAAGCGCGCCAGCTGCTCTCCCTGCTCGGGCACCTCAATCGTGCCGTCCGGTTCGTTCCCCAGGGCTTTTATTTTATTTCTAGGCTCCTCGCCCTCGCTGGTTTCGGCCCCTCCCATCTCGATGCTGCCTTCCCTGGCTGCCAGGCGCCGCCCTGGCCCGTGTTCTAGTCCCGCCTGCTGGGCCGCTGGGTCGCCGTCTCTTTCTGAGGTGATGTCATCCGTTCCTCCGATGCCCTGCGCTTCTTCGCGGACGCTGCCTCGTCCTCAGGTTTTTGGGGGGTCTACCAGGACCAGTGGTTCACCGGGCCGTGGCCCAAAACTTTCCCTTGGAGCTTCTCCCCTGCCCTCCACAAAAGATCCAGTAGTTGTGGCCCGTGCACCGTGGAGTCCCACGTTGCAGAGAAAAAGGATCTCTACGGTGTCAACAAGCTGGACGTCGTAGAAATCCAAAATAGTTCTAACAGTAGGGTTGTTAAATGTGGTTCAATGAACGTCAGATCAATCTAGTCTAAATCGCTTCTCCATAAACGAACTTATTATAGACAAGGGCTTGGATTTGTTTGCGCTCTCGGAGACTTGCTCCAACAAGACGACTACGTTAGATTGAATGAGTGCACTCCTCCACGCATGTTAACTACCAGAAAGCGAGAACTACGGGTCGCGGCGGTGGTGTTGCAATTATATCACACACCAACTTACTTCTTAGTCCCTTAAATGATTAAGAACCTTAAATGATAAATCTATCACAAGGTTCAAAGAACTAATACAGCCTATGTTGAATACTGCTGCAGGTGAACCTGTTCACAGCTGCTGCAGTCCCTCAGTCATTGACCTAAACGGTGGACAACACGATGGAGTCTTTAAAATCTGCATTAAATGCAGCAGCTCCTTTAAAACAGTAAAACCATTAGGATTAGATCATCGTCGCCCTGGTACAGTGTTCAACTCCACACTTTAAAAACAGGACGTCAGAAAAACTGGAGAGGCTATAATCGCCACTCCCACTCGGAGCCTGTCCACCAGGGAGTGGAAAACTCAATACTATTCAACTTTAAAGCATGTCTCCGAAACTACAGAAAGCCCTTCGCAGGGCTCGAACTCAATACTATTCAACTTTAAAGGTCCTATATCACGCTTTTCTTCATGTTTCCGTGGGAATAACGTGTTTCCAGATCAGCCTTTGAGTAAGTGGAGTTCGCATTGTCCCTGTAGTTCTGTGAACAGTCTCATGAAGTGTCGCGGGGGGGGGGGGTTATTGAACCGTTTATAATATATCCATGAGATAACGGGGGGGTATGGTACGCTTTTGGCAGCATGGCCTATAGAACCTCCTGTTCTCGAAGAGCTTTGCCAAGCTCGTTCAGAATACTGCTAGCAAGGATCTTGACAGGTATCAAAAGAGGGAGCAGTAACTTGGTGCTTAAATCACCTCCACTGGCTCCCTTGTGGGAGTACAGATAAAGTATAAAAACGTTTCTCATTTAAACATATAGAATGCATAAATGGCTTGGCTCCTTCTTTAGTCTCCCATGACACCGCGTAGTGTCCACTAGATCACATCCACCTAGTTCGAGCACCGTTGCGCTTGCAAAACTTTCAGATCGCCTCGATTCAAAAAAATTCACCTAGCTAGGTTTAAAACAGTCCTCATTAGTTTAGCATATGGCTAGGAAGGTAAGACTCAGGAAAAAGGCTAAACTCCTCAGACTGTCAGTCAAACTGCATAGGGAGTCAGTTTGCTGGGAGAAGTATGGTAACTTGAGCACTATCCTCTCCTCCTTCCTACTTTACCTGTTTAGCTTTTTAGGATGTTGACTGTAGTTTGTTCATTGCTATTCACCCGTTGTCCCATTGTCTGTTTCATGGTACAATGACGGGATCTCTGAGCCTGGCCTACTCCATCTACACCTGTGGACTGCCCTGCGTGACCCGCCTGGGAGTGCTTCAGTTCTGCACCGGACCTGCCCACGTTCAGCGGCCACTGGTTCACGTTCTGTAGCTAGCTTAGGTCCTGGATCATTAGCCTGTCCGTCCGGAGGAGCGGATCCCTTTCTCAAATGGGTCTCCCTCGCTGTGGGTTTCCCTAGGTCTCCCCAAGGTTTCTCACTTTTTCCCAATGGGTTTTTGATGAGTTTTTCCTTGCGATGCAGGATGGTCTTGTTGGACAGTTAGTGTCCAACAGAAAGGACAGAAAGGATTGGTGATGATCCAGGACACTTTGACATTCTACAACATGTATGGACTTTTTTTTTCTGTGTGTGCTTTATATTTTTCATGTGTTTTAACTGTTGATTCTCTGATTTGTGTTGGTGATTTCAATGGTTTTGTTAAGTCCTCTGAGATTACTTCTGTTGTGACTTAGGGCTATACAAGAATAAATTGTATTGTATTGTATTGTAACAATGAATACACTAGAATACTTTTCTTTCTCTGAAATGATCCATGTTCTTTGCCCTGACAAAAGAAAAATGTTAAATGTAGGTAACTAGTCAGACCACAACATGCTGTCTTTTGCATACAAGCAAAAAAAGAGCCATTTGAGTCACTAAACAACTCTTTAGGCTGAGAGCTATTTGGCTTGAGTGAGGGTAAGCCTCTCCTTTATCACTTTTCGGTCTCAAAAAGCTTATCTAAAGATGTGAAAGAAACTAAAAAAGTGTGTGTGTGTGTGTGTGTGAAAACAAATAAAACATCTATAATAAAAAAGTATTATAGCTGTTGTCATGGAGGACACTTTTCCCACAAGATGAGACAGGGATCATGAGAATAAGTAAATATCATATCTACTTTTATAATCAGCGTCATCACTTATTTGCATCCAAGTGAGACACGTTATCTGGCAGAACATCTGATATAAATTGTACAAAGACCACTGTAAATAACAAAAAATGTATGCCATGACATCTCACAGGAGAAGACATTTAGAGTACATAGCTTTTAAACAATCATGAGAAATGAGACATAATATTGTGGATGATAGTTTTAGTCATCATAAGCACATTTGGTTCAGTTGTCAGTGCGAGTGTTGCGTTTAGATGCCTCTCTGACTCGGTAGCTGTGTCACGCTCACATGTAAACTCATGGGCCAGGGCTGGGGCATCTAACCTCTGCATGAGCTCAAGAGGGCTGAAAAGTGAGCCAAAGAGGCTTCTTCCACAGAGCGCCACAACAATAGAAGATTTGGCTTAATTTGATTATTTTGATGATGAGATGTTTCTGACCATTTTCATCCTATCCATCCATTTCCATCCATTTTCTACCCTTTAATCCATTTCTGGGTCAAGGGGGTGGCAGTCAGAGATGCCACCCAAGTCTCATAGCACCAGCCCCTCACTGACCCTCTGCAGGTGGTGAGTCCACAGGAGGACGGCTGCTCTCTGAGTGTGAGCATAGCCTTGATCTTTCTTTTCATCCTACTACAATTTATTTATTTACAACCCTAAATCAGAACAGCAGTTGTCTCAGAGGACTATACAACATTGTTGATTCCTCATGAACATATCAGAGAAATTTCCCCAATAAATTTGGAAATTAATTATTTATGTATTAATTTAGCTTAATTTCATATATATTTTTACACTTTGATTCCCTTTGACCAATGTGAACATTTGGCCTTCTCGTTCTCGTTCTCATGGACTAGTGTTTCCGGTCTCGTCCCATTGCACAAAGTATACCTGGGATTGGAGTGATGAGTTGTCGACGAGGCCTTCCTGTGTGAGGAGAGCGCAGAGCTGGAGATCTCACTGAATAATGAGACCATAAAAAAACCAGAAATAAGTTAACTGCTGTTGTCGACACCGGACTAATGAAGTGCAGTTATTTACTGACAAGAGCGGCTCTTGAGCACATCGTAGGCCTCCAGCTCAAAGGGCATCACTAGACTGTCGAAGCGGCTTAGCTCTGCGGGCGGGATCAACATTCTGCACAAACACACACACATGCAGAGGCGTCTAATCATTAATTTGGCCTTCGGTGTTTATATTGACTATACAAACACCGAGGGTCTAATTAAAGATTAGATTTTGTAGGATTACTACATCTGGTTATGTGGTCGGTATCGGGGCCCCCAAGGACTCTGTTGCCTGGGGTACCCTAGGAACGCCACTGCACACACGCAGACACACACACACACGTGCACAAACACCATACAAGCATACACAATACGCACACACACACACAGACGCATGCACACAAATACACACACCATGTAGGCGCATGTGCACACACACCACAAACACATCAACACACATGAACACACCATGCAGACAAACGCACGCAAGCACACAGAGACACACTACACAAGCATACACACATAGACACGCAAACCCACCCTAACCTACAATCGTTTAAGTTGATGATGAAGATGATGACAAAGTCTGGTCGTGATCGTCTGTCTTTTAATTCAGAACAGAGAGACAATGTTTCTATTTGATCGATTGGTAGTGACAGACCGCCCTACCTAAGAAACAACCATTACCCACCTACAGGATGCATAGTGTACTTAATTACAAGACGCGCGGACGGCATTGGAGACCCTCCAATCCAGCAGCCTTCCCACTAGTGCCAATGCTAGCTTACGACTCGCGTTCCGCTTAGACTAAAACACAGGAGGGAGAAGCCTGTACTGGACTTCCCTGCTACTATCGATTGATAAAATTATGAGGTGTGTAAAACCTTCTAACAAACAGAGTTGCATTAAACGTGTTTATGCAAGAAATCTCACATTCCCCCACTGCTCGGTATCACACTTTCACGACGTAGTTGACCCATCAGGATCGATACACAGCACAGACTACCATCATTAAACTCATATCATGATGTCCAAATTCCCAAAACTTCAGAAATCCAGATTGTTCCAAATCATGTCCAAATTGTGTAATCCAATTGTTCCAAATTATGTCCATGCAAAAAAGAGGACGATGGTATTGTCCATGTCTCAGCAGCTCACAGCCTGACTGGAATCAGGGGCTGTGCAGATTGTCCAAGTGTGCTGATCCAGATGCATGGGTTCTCTTGAGGTTTCTCAGTTTTGGCTTGAAAAAAAAAACACTTTTTGTGTAAAAAAAAAAGTCTTCTGTTCTGTAGATGTTACAGACAATGCCCGCATCCTTCCACCATCTGAAGAAGATGACAAAGTCTGGGATCGCGTCTTTAATTCAGACAGAAGACATGTTTTATTGTTGATGGTAGAGACAGCACGAACAACACGAACAACAGAATGCAAGTGTATTATACAGAGCGGAGGCATGGAGACCTCCAATCAGCAGCTTCCACATGCCATGTAGCTTGGCCTTCAGATAGACAAAACAAGGGAAAAGTACTGGCTTCTGCACATTGATAGAATGATGAGTTTAACTTTAACAAAAGTTGCTTAAAAGTGTTATGAAATCTCACAGTTGGCACATGTGTGATAGGAGTGTGTAGGAACATTACCTGATCTCTCGCAGAAGCAGCAGTTTCTCTGGTCGGTCCAAAATGGCCAGCAGAGGGCGGATCAGATCCTCCAGCACATTCTCTGATAGAAACTAAATATACAAATAGAAAGTAAATGTGACTCATTATCCCTCCTATGAAGCTACAACCCATAAAAATGTAGCAAGCTATTCCTGTCAAAAGTAGCTTAATATATAGTGACTACCTTCAATTAAACAAACTGCTATTTGATGCAATTTTAGTGATCAATACAACCGTCAGTCAGGCTGAAAAATGTTTAGATTTATATTGAACAACAGCCCAACATTTATGTTTCATGGTGAAATTGACATTTATATTAGAAGTGGTGCGATTTTTGCTGATTCTGAAGCTGCAATTGTTGAATTTATCCACTAGATATCAGTGTTACAACCTAGTATGAGCTATCTCAGAGACTCCGTGTAATGATTCTTCATCTGCCCACAACTACAGTGCACTGTGCAAGCAATTATATTGAAATGGAAGGAGTATCAGACCACTGCAAATCTACCAAGACCCGGCCGTCCCTCCAAACTTTCATCTCAAACAAGGAGAAGACTGATCAGAGATGCTGCCAAGAGGCCCATGATCACTCTGGATGAACTGCAGATAACTACAGCTGAGGTGGGAGATTCTGCCCATAGGACAACAATCAGTCGTGCACTGCACAGGTAGCGCTTGTACCTGGCATGTTGTTAGACAGGTAAACAGTCTTCCTAATTTGTTTGTGTTGTAGTTGCAGGAAACGCTGTAATGTACACAAAAATCAGAAATGTCCAGGAGAAAATAGCTTAGCTACAGAAACATTACTTTGTTTTGTAAATAGCGACGCTACCGTCAAGCTACTGAAAAATTTAGTTAAGCTAGTAGTAGCGTCAAGTAGTGTCGCTACAAGTAGTACTGCTACTGCCCATCACTGCCTACAGACTACAGGATTTTAGCCTGATTTCAGCCGTTAATGAGGGAGGTGTGGCCCATGTAATTATTCTTATTTGCAATGTTTTGTTGCAACAGTCCATGTGGTCAGAGGATTCTGTCACATCAGAGTCAAAGCCTCTGCCATACTCATACGATGTGAAAGTGTAGTGCAAATGTCAAAAACACATTATATCTACTATATAATGTGTTTATATTGTAGATATAATCTGCAATATCTGCGATATTAATGCTCCAAGAGCATTAATATCGGTATCTATACAATCCAAATTGTTTAGATACTTCTTTCCTTATCCTACACAATTTACCTTTAATGAGACAGTGTTTGACAATGCTAAATGCAATATTTATCTCTAATGTTGTTAAATGAGAATGGAGAAGGTGTATTTTTTTATTTGCGACCGTGAGACAGAAAATTCAGATTATCCTTATGTCTGTGGTCTGTGTCACATTTTAAAATCTCATGAGACTAAAAATCCTGTAATCTGTAGCCATCTTTAGCAATTCCTTGTCTATAAAGGATATTGCACATTCGTTGGTGCATATAGACTGACCCGTTTACAGTGCCTCATGACAGCCTGCGCCTCGTCCTGGCTCAGCACCCTCTTGGCCATGTCCTCCACATACTGTAGGGTCTGAGGGTGGGGCTGGGGGCTGCTGTCCTTCAGGCCTGCACGGGACTCCTTAGGAGAGGACAGGAGCTTAAAGGGTCGACTGCGTTCTTTCTCTGTGCACAAATACACAGCCAAGAGGTAGATGTAACGTGTTTAAGTAAATATTCTGGGATTACAAGAATATATGATGGAATAGAAGGGATGCCTAAATACCAAGAAACTAAGGAAAATAAATCTGATGCTATGCAAGCACTTTGTTTTGGTACCTAGTGTACTACCATGCATCTGATATAAATATATACAATCGGTTCGACCATGGCGAAAGTGGCTCAGTTGGTAGGGCCAAGCTGTACCTGGGCAAGTCTTTGTGATTGCTCCAGGCAGGGGGCAGCGTGACTAGTAAAAGTCGTCTGATAGCTTAGTATGATGTCACTTTTACTTTGTTCACTTTCAGTCTATGGGTTAAAATGGTAAAAACATATAACTGTGCTATTTTTATTTTGCTGATGCATTCTGGAAAAGCAAACTCTTTCTTCAAACAAACTTTTTTCATCAATGTACATTTACTTACATTAATTTATATTCTAGATGGAAATTTTGAAATTCAAACTGTCTAATATTTATCTACATTAGTCATAGATCATGAATAATATGGATCAAGTATATAGCCTAACGTGTCCTGATGAAGGTGAGCCTTGTACCTGTGCCACTCTGTTTGGAAGGGGACTTGGGCTTGGGGCTCTTGTCTCTGCGCTCCTTCTTGAACAGCAGGCTGACAAAGGTTTTGGAGCGCAGGTTGGGTGGACCCTCACCTGGGCTCTCCTTCTTTTTCTGCCTGCTCTCTGCAACACAGGGGGTAGTCGAGAGCATATGATCCATAATTATACTAGAGCTTTGAAATATCACTTCTCCCTTTGCCAATTTTGGTATAAATATTTTGATAGATGATATATTGAGACAGAAATATTGCAACAAACAATAATACTAAATATACTATTTTTCACTGACACAGTTACAATACAACATAATAACTATTTGAACTATATGAACCAATATTTGAACCACAAATAATTCTGATTCTGATCAATAAGACTTGAATTTGTCACGGTGTGGATTTTGTGTTACTTTGTACTTTGTTTTTGTTTTTTATATCAGTTCTCAGTTGGTTTGGTTTTAGTTTGACTTCCTGTCTTGTTCCCCTGTGTTGATTGTCTGCCCCGCCCTGATGTGTTTCACCTGTTTCTTTGTGTGTCTATATGTACCCTGTACATACATGTGTGCGTGCGTGCATGCGTGTCACAGCACAGACGATTGTTGCTTCTGGCTTCCTTTTGAGCTCGATATATTGTCTTTGTTCAGTTTAAACATGTGCTCAAATACAAAAGGAAATTGATATTTTTATATAACTGATTGCCTTATTTGATCTGTCTCTGATTTGAAAATGTGACAGAGCAAAACATACATGCATGTGAAAAGAACAAGAAAAAAAGCTGAGAGAGCTAGGAACGTGGATTTTATGACATAGTTGTATATTGTTTAGTCCAGCTTTAAGCAAACATTACTCTGTATAACCATTACTAAACCAGGTAAACCAGAATGAATGCAAGTGCAAAAGACAAACAATAAACAAGATGGGTCATGACAAAGGCTACTTTACTCTACTTTCTTGTATGTACACAAAATCTCAACACCTAAACCCACCTGAGGCAGTGAGGTGACTTTGGGACCTCCGAATGGAATGTGGCGGCCCGCTCAGAGCCATGAGAGCTGCCGTTTTGGGAGAGTGATTGGCGGCATCACGTTCCCCTGAAGACAGCGTCCTAGCTTGGCCTCGCCTCCTTACACCGGCTCCTCCCATGTCTCTGGGCTCCTCCCCTTTGCCCCGTATCACTGTATCCTTCAGCAACAGCGTCTGCTCAAAAGTCCTGCTTGTGTCCCCCAGGAGAATCTGATCAGGGTTGGTGATCTCCGACTGGGGCAGCTCTTCTTCTAACAGGCGGGGACGGGGGGGGTTCGTCTGGATGGCAATCTCGCTGGTGTGGTCGGCCCTGAGTTGGTAGCACGGCGTTTCTCCAGATGCTATAGCCACATCTACCATATCGTGTCCAAATAATGAAGGATAGAGATTTTGGGAGAGTCCACTCACTGAACTTAGGGGGGTGCCCGAGGAGAGGGAAGACGCTGAAGAATTGGAGTCAGAGCCGCGTGACCAAGACGCCGGACCCCCATAGGACACTGCAAAATGACAATACAACATTACAACACATGTACACACTATTGACTCCAAAATCGGCTTAAATTGAAAATAGAAAGAACAAAAGTGCAAGTGAGGGTGTGCTTTCACACATGCTGCTCTGTGGATTAAAGCGCCATGACCTCATCTATGTTTTAATCCCCTCTCCATTTAAGATGGGCATAAACGGCAGGCTTCTGTTGTGTTTGGGTGCAGCTCCTACAGGCCAGTTCAGAGGGATATAGTCTTGCTCTTATCCAGAAGAAGATTTGAAAAGATTAATTCTCAGAAATAGTGAAGCTTCAAACAGCATGAGATTGGGCTGTCAAAGGCTACTACATATTTTGATCTTGTCAGAGCATGATATTAATTAGGTAATCTGAGGACATGAGAAATAGTCACATTGATGCATCTAAATGTTGAGCTCTTTCTTAGAAGGATTAACTTACAAGCCGACGGATGATCTGTGGTTAAATCTCAAACCACTGTTTAAATTAAAGAAAGACGTCCAATGCCGTTGTAGCCATTTCTGAAGAAGTAGCTCTGTGTGAGGATGTCAGTGTACATGGAAATGTATGCACATGGATGTCTATCTATAAGAGGAATCTGTAAAGTAGTAGTATATTTAAGACCTCACCACACACTTTATACACTTTTCCAACCACCTGAACTCATGACGGCTGAAGTTCAATTGCAGACATATCAAACTTCTTTGTTGTTGGTCTGAGCGCTGCTGCAGCTGTCAAAGGCCGTGCAAAGACAGTAAAAAACAGCTGCAGAGGACATGGCGCTGAGGGGCAGGAGCAGGACAGAAGGCTCACAAGCCATAAAAGTTTTCTTCTGATTGTAAATCAAGGTAACTGTTTTGTTGCACTAGCAGTTATATGATGTTGTTGGAGGATACATGAGGTGCAAAAGAAGCACTCAATGCTACACACAATAAAAAATCAGCAAAGCAGCAAGGCTGCGAAAGGTGAACCGTGTTATAGTGAGGGACCCCTGAATTGGATCGACATTTAGATTTTTTTCTTGTAACTAGCCAATGTAGATTGATCCATTTAGTGGAGAAGAGCTGTGGGAAAGAGGTTAAATTTAAAAGAAGAGCGCAAAAAACTTACATTTGTCCAGCCAGCCATACTCTGCCACCCTCTCCTTGTACGCAGGATATCGTCCCGCCTCCTGTGAGTGCACATGGATCAATTGGTCACATGTAATCTAATGCACACTTTGATGAGATTTTAATCATTTTAAATGTATATGGTTCCAAACTTATTAACCATGCTTATTGGGTCTTTTGAGAGACATGTTTAGATGTATTTACCTTGGTAACATGTTTCGGCTGCATAGCTGCGAGACATCTTCAGAACTGTCACTTGCCTTGGTGACATGTCATTTATCAGCTGATGTTACTTCCTAAGTAGGCGTCAGCATGATTGACCTGGCCCACGGCCCCTCTCGCCCAGTGGTCTCTGGAGGAGGGTGTCCCATGTGTGGGACAGGAGGAAAGCTCCCTCATCTCGGTTGATGCTGTTGTTGCCCCGCTTCCTGATTTCAATGGCCTGTGCGACCTGCCAGGTCAATCAGGCTGACCACACTTACTCAGGAAGTAACAGCTGATAAATTACATGTCACCAAAGACAGTTCTGAAGATGGCTCGCAGTTCTGCTGTCAAAACATAATAACAAGGTTATACATCTAAACCTTTTTGAATCAACTTTATGACTACTGCTAAAAAATGATAACAATGAGATTTAAAAAAAAGCTAAAATCTAGTGTTTTTTTATCCCTTTTCAAAACTGCGTCCATTATTCACTTATTTTGTTTGTATGTAGTCATACTTCTTTTATAACTTAATGTTGCATATTTGTAACCAAGGGTGCCACACGTTAAGATAATTTTCCCGAGTAAACAGGATCATAATTTATTTTACTCTAAATGATAATCCCAAAAAGTTCTGTTTCAGTACAAACATAACTGTACTCATTTTGTTACCAACCAAACCTACCAAGAATAGTTATACTGTACAAACCCAGAACACGCCATCAACTTAAAACCCAATAATATAAAAAAGTAAAGGCTCAAAAATCAATGCCAAAGATGAGCAAATAAAATCTCTCTCTTTTTCTCACTAATTGCTGACTAGTGAATTAGTATTAGCCTCTTGGCCCTTTTTGTCTGCAGCCCTGAAAAAATAATAGTTGTTGTTGACCTCTAATCCCCATCATTAGCCTGAGATGCCATAAATAGTGCTTTCTGTTGATTATAACTGGATCCCTGACGGCTCTGAATAATGGAGGATGTGCTGGCTGTTTTTCACACGTGGAACCTGAGCTGTGAGCAGTAAAAGGAGCACGCCCCAGTGTCTGCAAGCTACGGGTCACTCCAACACAACACCGCTCATGGACAAAAGAGCCAAGAGTGCCTTCTGACTCAAGCACAAGTACCAGTGCGCTCCAGTCCTGTTTGACCCTGCAGTGTGTGGAGTAGATATGGCCCCCACAAAAAAGATTAGACCTCATTCTTCCCTCCTCTCCTGTGTGCTTGATGTGGCTCAAAACAAGAAAAATTGGGCCTTCTCAGTAGTTTGGCACTAAACATATAAAGACCTCCTCATCAGTGGATGCTTCTAAATCTCATTTAAAAACTCAGTTTCATTCATTGGCCTTAATCAATCATTGAATTTTATATTTATTTAACCCAAACCTATACCCATCTGGCCGTTATGCGACCATGGTGTTTTTATCCCTAGTTTGAATGGTAATTTTCTCAATATCAACAAAATAATGTATTTTAATCTAAACAACAATCAACAACAAAATGTTAATCATTCGTCATCTCGTCATTTTTACTGGTCCAGATCTGTTTCAATCATACATACAGGTGAAACTCGGAAAATTACATTTTCATTCAAAATTTTATTAGGACCGAGCCCTGAACGGGGTAAGGGCCTATTGCTTTCACAATGGTGAATACAAATGGTGGCAGTGAGTGACGGACGCATCAGCGCCCGTCACTCACCCCGACATGACGGTTGCGTGCGTAAACTCAAACGCTTTAAAATGATGTATCATGTGCCATTGAAACCTATATTGTTTTTGCTCGAGACGTCAAAAAAGAATTCCTTGGTTTGGTTTCTTATTTCTTCTGCTCTTTGAGCCCTTATTTGACCGCCTGAACATGCATGAAAAGTTGATACATTTTGCCAAAAAATCAGACCTGGCGAAAAATTTGATATTTTGGTGGCCACCTACAACAGCCAAAATAATACCCCTATGGGAGTTTTCCGAGGTCAAGTTTGTCGTAGAGCCTTGAAATTTGGTACACGTGTTCTTCAAGTCAAGACATGACATTTTTTTATGATGGCCCTGCCCTCTGACAAATAGGAAGCCCATAAATTTCACTGCAAATTGGAAATACTAACAATAATAATTTTGATACATGTCGGTTGGAAAGCGACTCCTCCTTGGTTGTTTCACCGATTTGCCTCAAAATTGCTCCACATCATCTCAACACATGTACCATCAACATAAGTTTGCCGATTTTTGATCAGTGAAACGTTGTTTGAGCTGCGGAGCGGCAAAATTAGCTGTTTTTGACAATATTAAATTTGCTTCCGTTTGCACATACAAAGTCTAATTTGCACAAAATTTTAATACATACAGTAGTTCAACTCTAGGCTCTAGGTCAATTAAAAGTGAAATAAATGAACTTGGCTCATTAGCGCCCCCTACAGATGGGGGTCAAAGTTTTAAGTATGGGAGGGGTTCGAGGTCAAGTTTGTCGTAGAGCCATGAAATTTTGTACACATGTTCCTCAACTCAAGGCATGAAATAAACGTTATTATGGCCCCGCCCCCTGACAAACAGGAAGCCCATCAATTTCACTTCAAAATGGGAAAATGAAAAATTATCCTTTTCATACATGTTGGTTGGAAAGCGACTCCTCCTCGGCCGTTACACCGATTGGCCTCAAAATCGCTCTACATCGTCTAAACACATGTATTATAAAAATGACCCCAGGGAATTTTGATCAGTGAAACAGGCAAAATGTAAAGTTTTTTTGGCCGTTTTTGACAACATTAAATTTGCTCCCATTTGCACAAACAAAGTCTAATTTGCACAAAACTTGAATCCATTGTTCAACTCCAGGGTCTGGGTCAGGTGAAAGTGAAATATTTGAAATTGGCCCATTAGCGCCCCCTACAGACTGAGGCAAAGTTTTAAATGTGGAGCAAAAACCAGCTCTACTTATCATATTCATTACAATTTGACTAACATTCTTCTATGGCTACGGGAACAATTCATCAGACGGCGGCGCCACCTCCTTTGCGCGGTGCTGCTTGGTACGGTGTGGTGCTGCTTAGTGCGGGGCTCTGTGGAGCGGCGCGGGGCGGCTTGGTGCGGGGCGGCCTGGTGCACGCGGTGCGGGGGGTCGCGCGGTGCGGCGAAGGCCGTTCGACGCCGCTTGCGGCTTAAATTTGTTTCTGTTTATCAACCTAATATGTGAAATATTAATAACAATAACATATGATACTATCTAATTACATTCAACGTGACGTGCCTTAGCCTTTGTTTTAATTCTGATGATTGTTGTTCATCTTTGTTTTTGTTTGGTTTTTGACAACCAATTATCAACATTATAACAATTATAGAGGCTTAGTATGTCTCAGTTTGCATGTACTAAGTTTGTCATGTACTGTATTCATTTCATATTGTAAGTTGAAATACAGTAAATTGACTTCTGAATGATCTTCTAATTCAGAAATGCATAAACCTACCAAACATGAAAATCCAAACGCATATTCAATGTAATCATTTGCTCTAAAAAACTCTCTCATATGAAAAAGGAAATGCAATACATTTTCAGCCTGGCTTTCTTATGAATGTTTTTTTTTTTTCCAATACACCTGAAAATGTATTGACTTTTTTTGTAGGCCTGATTGAGTTATATATTAAATAAATTAATACAAATATAATCTGTTGTCCTTTTGAAAAAGAGCGTCGGCCACAGATAACCCATTTCGGCTGGTCCCGCTTTGTGTAGGGTGTTTTAGATGACGCACTCACCTTGATGGTTAGCATAACGTGGGTGTGGCCCCTCAGTACCTCCACCGCATTACTGTGGCTGATGTCCTCAAAACTCACGCCGTTGGCTTCCAGGATCTGGTCGCCCATTTTGATGCCGTGCTGCTCGGCGAGACCACTTGGATCTAGCCTTTTGTTTGGACATAAAAAAAATTGTATTGTAATAATGGTTCGGACAATGAATCCTCTCCGCCCCGGTCTGGACCAGTGCAAAACCATGAACACTGTACTGCACCATCATCTCAGGTAGAAAAAAACAATGAAAATTAAAATTCAAAAGCACAAAACATCAACTAATGTGGATATAACAATAACAATGGAAGAACCAGATCCATTGCTGTAAATGTTTTCAACACTAGTCCACAGGGGGCTTTTACAGTGCAGAAGATAAATACATTTTAAAGAATTACAATATAAATTACACGTGAGAACAAGTCTGTCTGGATCTTAACCACTGTTTGAGCTCTCTGCTGAAGGTGGTCATGTTAGTCTGTACTTTTAACCCAGTGGGGAGAGAGTTTCACAGTTTAACCCCCTTAAAGGAGAAGCTGGATTGTCCAAAAGATGTTCTGAGCGTTGGGAACACACAGTCCCCACTGACTGAAGCTCTGGTGGAGGCTCTGAGGGCAGATTAGCGTTTCAGCATGAGCCCAGAGAACAGAGGTGACACACAGTTATTCAGACATTTAAATGCAAATTTTAAAATCGAGAAATTAACAAAGTTCCATCCATCCATTTTCTTCCCCTTAATCCATTTCTGGGTCAGGGGGGTGGCAGTCAGAGCTGCACCCAGTCCACTTAGCACCAGCCCCTCACTGATCCTCCTGCAGGTGGTGAGTCCACAGGAGCTGAGATCTTTCAGTGGGAGCTTCAGGCAAAGTGGGGTTAAGTGTCTTGCCCAAGGACACAACGACAGCAGTCATCAGTGGGAGTCGTGAAGTAGGTCTTATGGTGGGCTTGAACCCACGACCTTCAGGCCCAAAGGCCAATGCTCTACCAACTGAGCTACTGTCAGTAATAATAGTATATATATATATATATATATATATATATATATATATATATATATATATATATATATATATATATATATATATATATATATATATATATATATATATATATATATATATATATATATATATATATATATATATATATATATATATAATAGTAGTATAATTTACAAAGTTATCAAAAGTAAAACGTTTGTTCTTATGTATGGTCAGAGGGGAGTGTGGGTCAGGGTGGGGGGATAGACCATAGACTGAAAGAGAAAAAGGCAGACAAATGAGTTGTGAGAGGGAGTCCATCCTTAGCCTTGAGTAGTGGAATGTGGAGATCAGTAAATAAGAGAGGTGCCTGCAGACATGGGAGACAATAACAACACGTATGCCTTGTGGTAATTTGTATGAACATTTTAGCTGGTCAAATCAAAGGCAGTGTAAACTTTAAAAAACAATTGAGTCCAGATTAAATCATCACTGGATCCCCTCCGTTGAGGCCCAAGGTCATTCAGTCCTTCACAGAAAGGTTACTGGTATGAGAATGGACGCTGATGTTTGAGACCATGCTGTGACACAATAGGACAGATGTGAAAAGACCATTGCATGCATATTTACTAAAGCAGCATGGTGTGGTAACTGTTGTAGAATTATAATGTTGTATACAAATGATTTCCAGTAGTGTTTGTATAACATGTCTTTGTGCAATATTAAAGCCTGGATTTAATGGAATTCAGACAAGCACCAAGGACAAAGGCTTCTGTGATAAAAGTATCATTTTCAGGAACAGCGTGTCTCTAGCGGCCTGAGACACAAAACTGGACTGGCCCAGACTGGGACCAGCCTCAGACCATATGGCGTCATCGGAGATTCTGATAAAACCGTTGGGAGGACACATTGTGGGGAGTTAGAGCACAGGGATAGAGATTTAGGGAGTAGCTCCGGGAGTTCTGTATCAACATTTAATTGTAAAGAGAAATAAATGTACTATTGGAACTCTTGAAATCTTGGCCTTATTTCTGTACCAAATTCTGAACACGTCGGTCAAATCATTTTTGACAACAGATGGTGACCCCGACGTGATTTGATACAGAAAGAAGACGCAAGATGAGCTCAGATAGAGAAACTGGGTCTGTTGGGTCTGGGGGCTTTCTACTCTACAAAAAGGTAAGCAGATACCATTTCTAAAATCTGCACATTGTTTTTAATAGAAGACAGAGAGATCTCGGCCCAACATGACTGCAGGTGTGGACAGACCCGCCGTGATGGGCGTTTTATCGGACGCGATAAAACAATAGTCAGGTTTATTTGACGTTTTAACCTTGAGGGAAGTTTGGGGTCCCCTCTAAAAAAACAAAAAGGGAAAAGAAAGTCCACAAGGGTTTTAGAAGTGCAAAAGAGGCACACCGTTTTAAAGTGCAGAGAGGCACAAGTGTTTAGTGAAAATAGAAATAGAATTAGAAATAGGGACAGCTAGGGTCAGAAGTTACAGGGAATAAAACCTTCCATATCCCCCGGGGGGCGGGAAAAAGGGTACATTTAATTTAAACAAAAAAGCCAAGTATTTAAAACTGTTGGATTCTGACTATTGAATAATAATGATCTGATTAATGAGGAAAAAGAGAGCCACTTGGCTGAAGATACGAGTTTCCATGTGGAGAAATGACCAGAATGATCAGTTATGGAAGTTCTCTTGTATTTGTGATGTAATGTTTCAATAGTTACAGAGGTATTACGAAAAAGATCCGGCTGTACCTAGTGATGCATTGGTCATGTAAGAAAATTGTAATGTTTTCCATTACTGACGTATTTAAATAAGTGCAAAGTGTCGTTTGACGTGAGAGAACTCTCACCACTGATAAAGCATTGTCACGATAAAAAACTAGGAAAATGTAGCAAATTTTAAAGGGGATGTTCATGAATTTGGTGTATTTCAGTCGTACATGTTCTCCTCTGTTTGAGAAGCCACAAAGCCCCTCCTTCTCCCTCCTGGCTCCCTCTCTGATAAATGCTTGAGGCATACAGGCCACTCAGCCCCCCCCCCTCCCTCTTTCTGTCTGCTCTCTCTCTCTCCCTCTCTCCAGTTAAGAAAGAGGCATACCAAATATTTTTTTGTAGAAAATTACATTTATACACACGGAGTCATATGATCACAGAACTTTGAGTTAGATTATAAAGAGGCATTATTTTATTCTTTTGACCATCTCCAAACGTCTAGACAAGTTATTAAAAAAAATTTCCCAACATTTTGGTGATATAAAATTTAAAATGATCTTAGAGATCGTTATACTTTTGAAAAATAGGGCTTAGGATAGCAGTTGAATACAGATTTGGTTTTCAGAATTTAATGTTTAAAATGTTAATATTAATTATTTCATAGGTTTATTTAGATTTGCAATTAATCATTGGTTTTGTATTGTATTAACACACTTGTTTGTGTTTCTTGTTTGTCTGTTTTTTTTTCCGAGAAAACCCTTCTGTCTGTTTCATTGGCCGATTGCCAGGCCACCGCCACAACTGAGCGCTGCCAAGTCACTGCCACAAAGGACTGTAGCGTCTCCCCCATCTACAGCAGCAGTATCATCAGCTGCAGCAGTATCGGCTGCAGCAACAGCAGCAGCATCATCATCATCAGCTGCAGCAGTATCGGCTGCAGCAACAGCAGCAGCATCATCATCAGCTGCAGCAGTATCATCAGCTGTAGCAGTATCGGCTGCAGCAACAGCAGCAGCATCATCATCATCTGCAGCAGTATCGGCTGCAGCAACAGCAGCAGCATCATCATCATCATCCACAGCAGTATTGGCTGCAGCAACAGCAGCATCATCATCATCAGCTGCAGCAGTATCGGCTGCAGCAACAGCAGCAGCATCATCATCAGCTGCAGCAGTATCATCAGCTGCAGCAACAGCAGCAGCATCATCATCATCCGCAGCAGTATGGGCTGCAGCAACAGCAGCATCATCATCATCATCTGCAGCAAAGTAAAGGCCACAGACTTTTGCACAAACTGGGTGAAGTTATGTGCAGGAAGAGGAACGGTGTGTGAGCCGAGCAGAAGAGCACGACAACACATTTGTGTGCGTCAAATATGAGACAAAGAAGACATGGAAAGAAAAAGACATGGCAAGAAAAAGAAAGAGATTGGAAGTAGTAAGTAATGGTAGGGGAAACCGGAAGACCCGGAGGAAACCCACGCAGACACGGGGAGAACATGCAAACTCCCCTCAGAAAGGCACTGTTCCGATCGGGATTCGAACCCAGGATCTTCTTGCTGAGAGGCGAGATGCTATCCACTCAGCCACCGTGCCGGCCAGTAAGAAAAAGTAATTGAAAAAAAAAGAAATAAACCACGAGAGAAGACATTGAACACTTTGAGACAAAGACATTGAACACTTTGAGACAAAGACATTGAACACTTTGAGACAAAGACATTGGACACTTTGAGACAAAAGACATTGAAAGACGCCATGAGTAAAAGAAAGAGACATTAACGGACATTTGAGGAGGACGTGGCCAGGCTAAATGAGACAGACAGAAGGTAGTATACACAGACAGGCAACAAACGCACCGGGATATTTACACATTTAGGTCATATTTACACAATTAGGTCATATTTACACATTTAGGTCATATTTACACAATTAGGTCATATTTACAAATTTAGGTCATACGTTCATAACACTACATTTAACTGCATGAATGATTACAAGGCAATCGTGATCATTTCTGATAGCACACTAACGCACCAAGGCTCACTGGTTGAAAACACGGATGTAGAAACATTTTATGAAATCTTTTATGACATGTTTCTCTTCCAAATAGATAAATTAGAAACAATTAGGACAATTATGTCTTTGATACAACTGTTGGCAGTTTGTCTGAGACATGATTGGTGCAAGTACGTTAGTACACGTACAATAATAGTCTTTTCTCCACATGAACGTGAGACAAAGGTGAAGTATTAAAGTTTGAAATTAATTTACATTTTTTAATGAATCCGAACTGGCTTTACTGAAAAAGGGAAGAACATTTGTAGCAAGTGCACGAGTCTGAAAGTAACAATAAGAGCTCTTTAAACTTTAGGGGACACAGTCTGTGAGAAGCCCGAGTAAAGACCACGTGG